CTCGAGGTCATGAATGCGTGAACTAATTTTTCAGCATCAGAAATAGATAGCATGTTACGTAGCTTAGCAATGTTTCTAAGGTGGAAAAAGGCTGTTCTTGTAACATATGAAATATGATTTTCGAACGACAAGTTGCGGTCTAGTATAACACCCAGGTCTTTTACTGTAGTGGATAAAGTAACAGGACATCCGTCTATATTAAAGTTGTATTGTGAGAGGTTTTGTGAGTAGTTTTTTGGACCAATAAGTAATACCTCCGTTTTATCTGAATTTAATAGCAGGAAATTACGCGTCATCCAGCATTTTATATCTTTGAGACACTCTGTCATTTTAGATGAGTTAGTGTTTTCATCTGGTCGTGATGAAATATATAATTGAGTGTCGTCAGCGTAACAGTGGAAATTAATTCCATGTTTTCTTATAATATTACCAAGTGGCAGCATATATATTGAGAATAGCAGAGGGCCTAAAACCGATCCTTGCGGTACTCCATAGTCTACTGATGTAAATGTACGTTATTTATATTAACTTATTTATTCAACTGCAGAATAAAATCAGTTTCAATACTTCACACATTTGCATATAGGCTACTGCTGTTATTTGGGGAAAAAGCACTGTGTGTAACATTTCTTAACTATGAAATGATATGTAAAGGACAAAAACTCATACAGGGACATAGGCTACTCGATCATGGATATCGAATATTGTTTAACATTTGAGCACCCTCACTATTTTCAAAAGCTCCCTCAGTGATTTGGTTCTAGAACCGGGGCTGACTTTCTCCACTGAGTGGAGCACTCAGTGGAGAAAGTTTGGGCATTTCACTGTGAGTTAAGATGGCCGAGTGGTAGAACTTACGGTTAGTACAGTACATTACAGTGACATGAGTTCGAAGCCTGATCGTAGTTAAATTTTGTATTTAGGTATTAATGCAGAAAGATTTGTCTAGTTCTAAAACTCTGTTTTTGCTTATATTTATAAAAAAAATTAAAGCTGCAAGCAGCATTTATCGGTGTTCAAGCAGTTCAGATCTTTAAGGCATTTAAAGGAACACTCTGACTTTTTGGGACTTTAGCCTATTCACCTTATCCCCCAGAGTTAGATAAGTCCATACATACCCTTTTCATCTCCGTGCGTGCTATAAGTCTGTTTGACGCACCCACCGCTAGCCTAGCTTAGCACAAAGACTGGATGTGAATGGTTGCAGCTTTCATACTAATCCAAATGAGTGACAAAATTACGCAAACGTTTTCTTATTTACATGTTGTGGTTTGTATAGTCACAGACTGTAGAAATATCAAGGCCATATGAGACACAGACATCTTTTAACAGTATAAATACTATATTTTCTGAAGGCGAAGCACTGCTACTTGGGCAGAGTGATAACCGCATCACCTGACACGCACCGTAACGAGGAGCAGAGAGTTCGCTCAGTGTTGGAGTAAAGAGTCAGCAATTACTAACGTTAGATAGAAAAACATAGTTTATCATGGGTGTTTGCTTTATTGTATGAGCTGTGACAATAAACAGGGGAGACCAGGTAATACGGTACCATGTTTCATTGAATTCCAAACAAAAAAAACGCATCCAGATATAAATATCACAGAACATGAATAAACAATTATTATTACAGGAATCAATATATTTTAAATTTTATTAGCTGAACCAAATGTATTCAACAGTATATAATATACAGTATAATTGCATTACTATAGGATAGAATAAGGGGAAAGTAATAGCACAAATTGTTTTTGCACAATGAACTCACAGCCTATCGTACCCTTTTGCACGCTCAAGTTCGTTATTTCCATAGTTGTTTCAAATTTAGCCTACTAGGCGTGCCGCGCGCAGGGTGCAAGTTCAACGCGCTGGTTTTTTTCCAAGCGCGTCCTCCCCGCATCAAGATAAAAACATATTCATACCCTAATCATATAATAGTGTCACTAACGTTACATTAGATCTGGCTAATGGCACTGTTACAGTAGGTCATCTAAAAACATGACGGAGCACTTACCTCAGCCGCAGGTGATCCACTTGTCCTGTCTGTGCTATAGATGGGATGGCCGTATCCTTCAGCACATTATGGTCCGTGTGGCAAATTCCATTTTTTTCAAAATAGTCGTCCTCATTGAAATGTACCGAGCAAACATAATGTCCCTTGATAATCTATTTAGGTGTGTTAGTAAGTAAGTTAGCCATTTATTCATCCAGTCAGCGAATTCTGTGAAACATGGTATTACCTCCCCTGTTTACTGTCGCAGCTATTTATAAATTGCTGACTCTGTTACCCAAACATTGAGCGAACTCTCGGCTCCTCACCACGGCGTGTCTCCGGTGATGCGGTTATCACTCCGCCAAAGTAGCAGTGCTTCGCCTAAAGAAAATAGTTCCCAGGTTTTATACGGTTAAAAGATGTCTGTCTCATTTGACTTTGTTATTTGTACACTCTGTGACTACAAATCACAACATGTAAATAGAAAAACGTTTGCGTTATTTTGTCACTCATTTGGATTAGTATGAAAGCTGCAACCATTCACATCCAGTCTTTGTGCTAAGCTAGGCTAGCGGTGGGTTTGTCAAACAGACTTATAGCACGCACGGAGATGAAAAAGGTATGTATGGACTTATCTAACTCTGAGGGATAAGGTGAATAGGCTAAAGTCCCAAAAAGTCGGAGTGTTCCTTTAAGCACAAAAGCATCAAAAGACATTAAGTTGTATGAATACAGTACCATGAGACATTAAGTTGAAAAGACATTAAGACATTAAGTTGTGCTTCGCCTAAAGAAAATAGTTCCCAGGTTTTATACGGTTAAAAGATGTCTGTGTCTCATTTGACTTTGTTATTTGTACACTCTGTGACTATACAAATCACAACATGTAAATAGAAAAACGTTTGCGTTATTTTGTCACTCATTTGGATTAGTATGAAAGCTGCAACCATTCACATCCAGTCTTTGTGCTAAGCTAGGCTAGCGGTGGGTGCGTCAAACAGACTTATAGCACGCACGGAGATGAAAAAGGTATATATGGACTTATCTAACTCTGGGGGATAAGGTGAATAGGCTAAAGTCCCAAAAAGTCGGAGTGTTCCTTTAAGCACAAAAGCATCAAAAGACATTAAGTTGTATGTAGCAAGCATGATTTATCATGATATACTACATTTCAGTGTGATATTACATAATTAACCATGTTCCAATATGATTTATCATAATTTACCATGTTAAAATATGATTTACTACAGTTTAGTTCACACACTCATTTTCAACTTCAGGATCATAGTCATTTTTTACTAAATGTGGTTGTAAATGTTAAAAGATTGAATTGATAAAGTTATACTATGAATTATAGTTGAGTATTGTGAATTTTTTTTTTATTTAAACAGCAGCGGGCAGTAAAACACCACTCATTGGCCACTTATAATCCGATCCTCACGAAACTTTGCGGAGAAACTTTGGTTGCTGTAGCGCCAATCGGGCTCATACTCTGATAGCTTTTTCACAATTTGAGGCCCTACCACCTGGCTGAGTTTCAAGTCTCTAGGCCTTACGGTTTGGCCTGCACGATGTGTTTTAGGGGATTTTTTTTTTCTTTCTAGCTAATATATGGAATTAATTTTGAGCCAATAAAAATGAACGTAACTTTTCAAGAAACGAATGAAAATATAAATTGAATAAAACTGAATAAAATATCTTTGAAACTGAAAAAGAATGAACCGCAAGCAATTTTTTTGACTTGGTTTTTAATACACTACATGTTTTGCTAACTATTCCTCATATTTCGTTTACTGATCTACACTTACAAATGCGCTTCCAGAGTTTTCATTTACGCTTCTGAAGTTTTCGTTTACACTCCCTGAGTTTGCGTTCGCTGTTCTGACACAAATCTCTCGTGGGGGCGGGGCTAGTAGCAGTGTATTCTCATTGGCTACTGAGCTTTTGATTGACAGCTTCTTGACCTGGAAGTGAAGACGTCATAGTTGTGTTTACACGTGTGGATGTGAGCGTCTGTAAGCGCAGCTTTCTATTTAATTTTAGTAATATTAAGTTATGTTTGTTTTTTAATTTTATCTGTATTTACCTTCTGCTGTGATTACTTTGTCAACAGAAGCTTTTAGGTTCACAAGAGATCAGTCTATTCAGGTGTAATTGTACATCAAAGTAGGCCCACTGTATATGACTACTTAAAATATTTTGTCCAATGTTTTAGGAGAATATTTGTTTATTCTTGATTCGTTTGCATGTTAGGCTCTGAATAGGTTGTGCTATTACAATATAAAGAGAATAGCCTACTAGTATACGTGTGTGATATATTCAGCAGTCAAGAAAGTTTCACTTCAACCAGGTAATCAAGGTTGGCAACCATGGCCATCAAATTTCTCATTGTTACCATATGCATTTACACCATCAAATGATCATGTATGATCACTTAAATAAGAGGAATTTAAACTATATGAAAATTACAATCGTGGGTTGCTGTCAGATGATACAGACCTCAAAGGGCATTTTATTACATATTTCACACAAAGAATATTTTTGTTGGTATTTTTTTAATCATGCTGATAATTTTATTTATTTCATTTTGTTAATATTATTTTCTAACATTTAAAATGGTAAATATATTTGAACAATCATCAACAGGTTCAATTATGACTTATAAAATCAGTTAAATGAATTTAAATAAAAAATCTAATAAATTTATTCATTCTTTATTGTCACTACAGCATATACGCAAGTATCAAAGTATAAGTCTTGGATGCAGTTATGACAGGAAAGACCAGAATCCACAAAACATTAACTGCATACTATACATGTAATGCACAGTGTTCTCATAATATAGATAATAAAATGTATAATCACAAAGATTTTTAATGAAATAATACATCTCTGTGAGTCCACATAACACAAGTGGATTGTACCCATGTATGGCAGTTGGTCGGAAATTATTTTTAATAGTTAAAACAGTTTACTAAAAAATAATACTAAAAAAAAATAGTATTTATTTTTTTTTATTCTATTGTTTCACTTCAGTATTGATTCATCCACTGAGGTCACATGGACATCACGGTCACTGTGTGTGGTTTTTAAAGCATCTTTAGGGCTTGCAGAGATGGATTACTTTCCTTAAAATCTTAATTCGTATTTATCTGTAGAAAGAAAGTAAAATGCATCTGGGACAGCATGAGGGTGAGTAAAATAAGTGAGAATTTTATTTTTGGATGAACTATCCCATTCATATGCTGTTGGTATGCTAATCCATGATCAGCAGAGACTAATAAGAATAAACTGCAACCTCTTGTGTACTGTGTTTGTTTTAATCTAGAGCTCCAAAGAAATTAAAATATTTGCTATTTTATAATATTAAAATAAAATACAACAGGTGTCTGAAGATAAGGATCCCAGTCATTCAAAGGTGATATGTCTGAACAAAGTAACATTATTGTCTGATGGAGACAGCTGATCTCTGGTATTATCACTCCATCCTCTGTGTCAGCATCAGAATTTTGTTTGTGGAAAAGTTGCTCAAATCCCTGGAAAATGAGAAAGGAAATATATTATAATCTAACAATACAAACTGCTTTGAACTCCCACATGCAGTAACCATTTGCAGACTTAAAATAATTATTTCAAACAAATTATATAAATGTTTTAAGGGATTTTACAGTACCAAATGTTTACCTGACTCACACACCATTTATCATCTGTAATACTATTGTATAACCAGTAGATGGCTCTATAGCCCAATAAACATTTATCCATGCCATGGCTGTGTAGCGTCTACTCCCTAGTTGCTGGATTTTTTCAGTCATAATTACTTGCATGTATTAGGTTTTGAATTTGGATATATATATATATATATAAATTATTAAAGACTATATTAAAAATTCAACATTTTTCTCCAAAATGTTGTTTTTTTTTAACATAATTATTACTAAAATATGGATAGAGAAAAAGCATTTTGTTGCCTTTTGCAGAATAAATATTGCGCCCAGGGTTATACTTCAAAACAAATGAGTGTTTACATATTATGAATGGAGACATGGAAAATGGTCAAGTACTCTCTCTCTTCTTTTAAAAACTCTGCATCACAAATTAATCAGCAATTGGCTTTACATTGCCAAAGTTGAACCGGGCAGTGATTGACAGGGCTCTGGTCCAATGGCATCGGTCATTGTCTGATACAGTACATTTTGTACTGTAGGCTACAGTACAGATACTGTACAGGACTCTAGCACAATGTTGTTTGGGGTGGCAGAGGGGAAATATGATCTAATTGAAGCAAATATGATCTAATCGAAGACTGTAACCGTATGTAACGTTAGATAAACAAGACATGTAATGATTGGGCTAACAACTTACCAATTAAATCAAGACAACACTGCTGTATAATGTTATGGGCTCTCACTGAGCTCTAATATGCCTCTCCACCTGAAAAAGCAAGAACTGTATTATAATTAGTATTAGTTTAGTATTAATTAATAAAAAAACAATAAAAACAATCAGACTTACCACGAGTAGCCTATGCTATCCAGTATTCTGATATCGACGATTACAAATTATATCATTTGTCTGTACTATTCCTTCTATAAGAAATCATATCAACAATATAGTGTAGCAGTAAATAAATAAAGAAATAAACTTAATATCACCTAAATGAATAGAAAGCTACGCTTACAGACGCTCACATCCAAACGTGTAAACACAACACTCACTGACGTCTTCACTTCCAGGTCAAGAAGCTGTCAATCAAAAACTCAGTAGCCAATGAGAATACACTGCTACTAGCCCCGCCCCCACGAGAGATTTGTGTCAGAACAGCGAACGCAAACTCAGGGAGTGTAAAAGAAAACTTCAGAAGCGTAAATGAAAACTCTGGAAGCGCATTTGTAAGTGTAGATCAGTAAATGAAATATGAGGAATAGTTAGCAAAACATGTAGTGTATTAAAAACAAAGTCAAAAAAATTGCTTGCGGTTCATTCTTTTTCAGTTTCAAAGATATTTTATTCAGTTTCAATTTATATTTTCATTCGTTTCTTGAAAAGTTACGTTCATTTTTATTGGCTCAAAATTAATTCGATACTTATACAATAGGTTTTCAGCACTTCGTGCTTGAACACCTAATAATGAGAGACCTTTTTGACGATTATAGCCACATCTATGATCTGATCCTCACAAAACTTTGCATGCTTCCTAATCATGTTAGGACACATGCTCTTCGATTTTTGTCAAGTTGTGACTTTTTGGGGGGGATTTACTAGCTTTTGACTGAATTTTGCCACAGACCACTATCTAAATGATACTGTTACAGCCAACCAAATGCAAAATTTAAACTTTTTTCGATAATTATTTATCTAGAGAGTCCAGAGAATAGGCCTAGACTGGTTTGGTCCCGATTGGGCAAAAAACCAGGCACTAGTTTGCAAAGGTGGGTTTTGGACAAAAACCGAAATAACACATTTTTTTTAGGGATGTCCCGATCCGATCCACGGCATCGGTATCGCGCCGATACCGGCCCAGAACGCTAGATCGGAGATCGGAGGGGAGAAAAAAATATGAGCGATATCCAGTTTAGCGGCGCAGCCTGTCACGTGATGATTGTTGTGTTTACGCACACGCGCGCAGAGAATCACTCTCGCTTTGCGCACCTATTCTAATGTAATCGGATGATTCCACCCACAAAAGCTGCATTTCAGTCTTTTCAGAAATTCATTGGCTATCAGAAAATAGCGTCATTTCATTCTCTATTGCAACTGCATAGATAAACTGTCACTCAAAGAGAGGTAGGTACCGATCTTCACCAGGCACGCTCGTTGGCTGTTGGAGTTTAGAAGACACCCCTAACACTCGCCGATTGGCTAAAATGACCTGTCAATCAATAGTTCATGGGTCAGCGGCCATTTTGACATTCTTTTTTCTCCAATGTTTACGTTTCAACTGAAGTTAGACGGATCAATAGTGTTATGCTACGTTCACACCGGACGCGAATCGCGCGTCAAATTCGCGCCTGACGCGTCTAGTTTGACGCTTGACCACTAGTGTTAATTCGCGTGTCAAGAGCGAAACTGGCGCGCGTAAAGTTTGAAGCGAAATTTACGCGCGTCAGAATCAAAATCCGTTGGCGGTCATTGTTTTTATGTCGACCGAGCATTCATCAAGAGAGTTACCGCTCTGTATTTACTCTGGATAGCAGAACAGCGGCGTGGGGATCATCGTCGCCGTATATTTGTGTCCACCGGACCCTTCGGAGCCGAACCGTTTGGCGAGTATCACCATTTGCTCGCTCCAGGAGCTGCGCTGGATGACGGCCGCTGTCAGCGGTACTTCCGCCTGTCACGCGCCCAGTTTGATGACCTGTTGTCCCGCATCTGAGCGAGGATCACCCTCGCCCGGCCCCTCATCCATCTAATCTAGCTGTCATTTATTTTTGTTTTGATAATAAATAGAGCCAGCCTTCAAAAGTTATTAACCTGTCCTGTGATTTTTTTTCTCTCTCTCACGTCCAGACACGAATTTATGCACATATGTTGATTGTCTTTACAACATAATACTATTTCTAGATATGGAATGAATAACATTCAATACAAAATGAACATGTCTCCATATAGAGATAATGTTTTAAGTGATGAAACATTTGCTTTGTTGTGCATAATCCCACCATGCATTTAGTCATATTAACAAAATAATTTATTGAAGCATCCAGACACTTCACCACGTGAGCAAGCAGCTAGGCTCCTGATTGGTTAACGCGGCGCGAATTCACGCCAAAGTTCAGATTTTTCAACTCGGGCGGCAGACGCGAATTCGCGTCAAACGCGTGAATGCACAACGCTCAATTCGCGCCAACTTGACGCGCGAATGAGGCGTATTCGCGTCTTCCGCACCGCGCTCCACGCCTCATTCGCGCCGCAGGAATTTTTCACGCGCGTAAAGCGTCTTTGCATTGACTTAACATTGAAATCATTCGTGCCTGACGCCCTATTCGCGTCCGGTGTGAACGTAGCATTAGTGCGTCGAAGTTGTGATAGCGCTGTCGGCTAACGCGAAATGCTACTATTTACATTCCATGGATGTTTATTCATATATACAATTGTTTTGGACTAAAAACTTCTTCAAATTGGATTGTATGGACGCTTTACAGTGAAACCAAACCATTTTTGTTGGAATGTGGACTAACAGATGGCTAATTGGTGAGTTTCTTCCAGTTTGTGTTGGTTTGTTTTGGCTGTTGGTGGTCTGACAAAGAGACAGATTGTGCCCGCTGTGTTGATTGTATCTTAAAATGGTTTACGTCGTTCGAATCACGAGTTTCTCAGCTTTCCAAAGATATGTATTATGTTTACTTTTGTGTTTGTTTTGTTTTGTCTTTCACAAAGTTAAACCTATAAACCACCCTGTGGGCCGTATACGGCACGTCGGACCACGAAAAAAAAAATATCGGACTAATATCGGTATCGGCAAAAGCCAAAGGTGCGGCATCGGTATCGGTATCGGAAGTGAAAAAGTGGTATCGGGACATCCCTAATTTTTTTTGCTCCAAATGGAAATCCAATATTATACAATGATATACATCTTGTCCGTCTTGAGCCAGGGATTACAGTGGTGTAAAAACATTGAAGCTAAGTCAAAGGGTCTAGGAGTTATGAGCAATTTAGTACTTTTGGTTGCTGTAGCGCCACCTATGGGCCAATCGGGCTCATACTCTGATAGGTTCTCCTCAATTTGTGGCCCTACCATTTGACAAAGTTTCAGAGCTCCAGCCCTTACGGTTGGGGCTGCACGATGTGTTTTAGGGGATTTTTTTTTCCCTTTCCAGCAAATACAATAGGTTTTCAGTTCTTCGTGCTTGAACACCTAATTACCATGCATTTCCATTTTACACTGGAAGGAACAAATACTATCCAACAGATTGACTTCTTATAAAAAAAAATATATATTCTTAAATTCGGATCTGTAATGCATTAACAAATGAGACCTTATTGTAAAGTGTTATCAAAAAATCTATTGCCTAACAAAAAATAAAATAAATAGCCCACCTAAATATTGCAAACAAGTCATTAGATAGCCTAGGCTAACATGGGGCTGCATATAAAGAAACAAAATGCATGTGCCGTGGATCAATAAAATGGAATCGCCTCCGCACGGACAATAAGGAAATTAGTTTAATCAAACCAATTATAACGCAATGTTTTTGAAAAAAAAAAACAATTGAACAATTTTAATATTACAGTAGGCTAGCCTAATAGTAAACATCTTTAATAGAATTACTGTTTCAAATGACATTGCTGTGTGAGCTGCGCGAGCTGAAGCTGAAGAGAATGAACGTTTAACTTACTGAATCATTTTGCTAGAAGGTTAATCAATTCGACGGTTGCTGAAGAATGCAAACTCAAAGAATTTACAAATTTATTACAATGGTGAATATAATTATATGACAGTGCAAATCATAGATTTTAATGGTTTTGTTCTGCGCGCGCTGAAGCTGAAGAGAACGAGCACCGGGGAACTGAAGAACTTTTCTAGGTTGTTTAAATCCACGAAACGCATGATATGTGAGATTAAGCAGATATTTATATTACATCAGCTTTATATTACGACTTATCTGCACAAAATGACGTGAATGCACAATCGAACTTGTGCTGGTCATAATGTGAAGCTAATCCCTGTTCTGGACGTGCTATTCCCACAACATCACGCTAAAACGGCAACTTAACCCAGAGAATTCACAACGTTTTATTACAATAGTGTTCTCATTATAATGGCATGTATATGACAGTCCCAATTATAGTTATAAAAGTGCATTGCTGTTTGAGCTGCGCGCACGCTATAAAAATCACCGGCACAATGAAGCGCACGTCGTTCATTAACTTAACCAAACACATCCTATATTAGATTAATCACATATATAGGCCTATATACTTAAAATAAACATATTACAACTTACAATGGAACAGAATGCTGTGAATGCTCAAGAGAACTTGACTGTGCTTGTCATGAAGGCTATCTCCACAGACGCGGTCTTTCCACCACAACACGCTCACGTGCTGAAACTCTGGCGAACAAGAATTCACAACATTCTTTTGCAGGCTGTGTTTTTATTATAATGTTATGGAGCCTATGTGACAGATTTGTGCTGCACATGTTGCACTGAACAGTATCTTCCTTTTTGAAGTGAATCCAATCATTCAGAACCATCGTGGCGAACAGCGCACGTCTCTCAACTGAAGTAAATAATCTATTATTCATCGGCTTTGATATATCGGGCCAATTTTCTTATCGGATCGATAACGATAACATCAAAAAAGACCATTTATCGGCCGATATCGATATGTGGTCGATATATCATGCCTATTCAAAACTATTCGATCTGTACAGAGTCACTTATCATCTGCCATAGCCAATCGCTAACGTGTGGTCGTGACGTATGTCATGCGCCGAAACGGCTGGAAACAACAAGTCTGAACTCCGAATGATCAGAGGATTAGGCCTATGTTTACAATAGGATTTTAGTCAACGAGAGCTGCAGGCAGTAGCGGTTCTAGGCACGGGCGAACCGGGCAGTCGCCCGGGGCGGCATTTCTTCATGTCACATGGGGGGCGGCACGAGCAGTTAAAAAATACTCTGTGCCTCGAAGTTTTTCTATTTTTTATCATTTCGATTCAATTATTGGCAATGGCGCCCTGCTTGCTGAGAAGG